AAAAAAAAAATACTCAAGACTCTAGTGACACAGACTGAGCTCTCCAGAACAGAAACTGAAACCCCATCAAGACTCCCTCTCTCCATTTTCCTCCTTTATGTACTGACTTTGTTCTCTCAAAGCAGCTTTGTTTGTTTGCTTGTTTGTTGCAGTTGTCATTATTGTTATAGCTGGCCCAGGCTGGGTTCAAACCCGCCAGCCTCAGTATATGTGGCCAGCACCTTACCCACTGAGCTATGTGCGCCACCCTCGAACCAGCTTTTTGCAGAAGGAAAAGTGGCCCCAGTGCCTGTGGCTCAGTGGGTAGGGTGCTGGCCCCATATACCGAGGGTGGCGGGTTCAAACCCAGCCCCAGCCAAACTGCAACAAAAAAATAGCTGGTTGTTGTGGCAGGTGCCTGTAATCCCAACTACTCGGGAGGCTGAGGCAAGATAATTGCCTAAACCCAGGAATTGGAGGTTGCTGTGAGCTGTGTGATGCCACAGCACTCTACTGAGGGCAATAAAGTAAGACTCTTGTCTCTACAGAAAAAAAAAAAAAAGAAAGAAAGAAAGAAAAGTGGCCCCAGTAGCTCTTCCATCTTATAGCTCTATTTTCTTCTACCAGGAAGGGGCTACCTTTCCATAGGAGGATGTCATTGTTTTGTGGCTGAGCTCCCACACTAGGCTCCAACAGACCAAACCAAAATAGAGTCAATCACCCTAAAGTTCCATGTCATCAGTTCAAAATTAAGTAGTTTACCTGATCTTTCAAGAAATCAGGAGAGGTTGGCTGGGCGTGGGTAGCTCACGTCTGTAATCCTAGCACTCTGGGAGGCTGAGGCAGGCGGATTGCTTGACCTCACGAGTTTGAGACCAACCTGAGCAAAAGCAAGACCCCCATATCTACCAAAAATGGAAAAACTGAGGCAAGAGGATCACTTGAGCACAAGAGTTGGAGGTTGCTGTGAGCTATGATGCCATAGTACTCTACCCAGGGCAATAGCTTGAGACTCTATCTCATTAAAAAAAAAAAAAAAGAAAGAAAGAAAAAGAGAAATCAGGAGAAGGACAATTGTCAAACTTCTAGACAGGCCAGTTTTAGCTGACACAATAAGGAAGTCCCCTCTGCTTTAACTCTTACAAGGAGGCAGGGTGCAGTGGTTTATGCCTGGAATCCTAGAACCCTAGGAGGCTGAGGCAAGAGCATCCCTTGAGCTCAGGAGTTCAAGATCAGCCTGAGCAAGAGACTCCTGTCTCTACTAAAAAATAGAAAAAATTAGCCAGGCATTATAGGACGCACCTGTAGTCCTGGCTCCTCCTACTCAGGAGGCTTACCTGAACCCAGGAGTTGAGATACCTTATAAACACTGACTGCTCCGCTATGCGCAGTAGAATGCCTTATCTAAATCTTTAGATGAGATGCTGCCCAATTTATGAATCACTGATAAAACCAGTTAGATCTAAAACCAGCTTTGTTGAAATCGTG